TTTGTGCCAGTATCATGCGAAGTAACATTCATTTTCATTTACTTTGTACAACCACTCAATGATATAGTTATTGTTTTTATCCTCATTTTATAGATGAAGAAACTTAGAAGTTAGGTTATTTTCCAATGTAATATTGCTATTAAGTGATGGAACTGGGCTCAATCTGACTTTAAAGCCCAGCTTTTAACTGATCATTATATCATACTTCTATTTTCAGAATAAGCACAAGAAAAAAATGGGTGAGAAAGGGCAATGTTAATAGATGATCAAGGATGATAATTCCAGGCTGGGTGTACTGGCATACATCTGTAATCTCAGTGACTTGGGAGACTGAGGCATTAGAAGTGCAAGTTCAAGTCCAACCTCAGCAACTTAATGGAGGCCTAAGCAACTTAGTGAGACYCTGCCTCAAAAAAATAAAAATTTAAAAAGACGGGGACATATCTCAGTGGTAAAGCACCCCTGGGTTAAATCTCCAGTACCAAAAGAAAAAAGGAATAGTTCCAGCTAACAGCTACATTTTCTGTTTTCTAAACATCTGATGCTCACTGTGTGGCAGGCACTATTAGAAGCCCTTTGTTTTGGTCTATTTTGTGTTGCTATAACAACATACCTTAGCCTGGTAACTTTATAAAGAAAAGAGCTTCACTTAGCTTGCAATTCTGAAGATACAGGAGTATGGTGCTGGCATCTGCCTGGTTTCAGTGAGGGCCTCATGGCAGATGGCATTACAATGGTGTGACTGTGTGAGAAACTGGCAAGTAGTGCATGTCGAAGAGAGATGGAGGAGAGATTATAGGCTTCTTATAACAACCTGTTCACATGTGTTCCTGGAAGAACAGCATTAATCTCTCTTGAAGACCTGTTCATCTCCCACCAGACCTAAACATTGCCACACTGGGGCCAGGCTTCCAGCGCATGAACCTTTGGGGGACACACCAAAACCATTTCCAAACCAAAACATCCTTGATACATATTAACTCATTAATTCCAATCATAACTCTCTAAGATAGGTACTGTTGTTACTCACACTTAGAAATGACATTAAAGGCATAGAGGTTAAATAATTTGTTCCAGGTCACACAACTAATAAATGATAGAGCTGGGATTTGGATCCAAGCATTTGGGCTTCAAGGTCCTCATCTGGAGTGCTATATTGTACTATAGAACAACAACTTCTTATTTTGCCTCTTTTTCATAAGCCCAAAGAATGATTTTAAAGTGGGAGAATCCAAAGAAGTATATTTTAAAGTTGAAGTCTAGTATATGTGATGTATGTGATTGCATTATGATTGCTTACATTTTAAGATGTGGAATTGTAACCCTGGGTACTATTGGAATAGTCTGAGTCACCTTAGTAATTTGTAAGTCACTTTGGATCAGTTTTCAGAGAGGACTCTCTGAATTCAGAGTGGATATCTAGGCAGGGGAGACACAATTTATTTCATTCAAGAGGACAGTTTTCTTCTGGAAATGGTGATCTTTAGCCTGTTATGTTGAATGAAATGTGTGCAGTTAGCTACAAATCTATTGYTTTAACCATTTAATTATAAACTAACCTTAGAATAGTTATTTTATTTGACTCCTAAAGTATCTTTTTAAAGAGAGTAGATTTAGAAAACAGTTGGCTAAAACTCCAATGTAGTTTGTGCACATTTTTGATTAGTTTACTTCAAAACCGTGTTAAGATCATATAATTGCCTCTTTGAAAAGAATATGAGGATAGTGTATTCAGGAGATGCCCATGACATAACATCTTGATTTCATTAAAGGATTTGTCTGATTTTTCCGTTATCCACATGACTGAAATAGATTTGTAAATACTAAACAGATTTGCAGCTAGATAAACATCTTTACTCAAAGAATTATTTGGTGGCTTAGTGTTAATTACATCTTAGTGCTCTTTCATACATAAAATTTTTTAGAAATATTTTATTTAGTTATATTGAATCATACTTGTATGGCTGGAATAAAACCAAATTGGTCACGGTAAAAAAAAAAAAAAAGAAATATTTTATTTTCTAGTTGTAGTTGGGCATAATACCTTTATTTTATTTTTATGTGGTGCTGAGGATCAAACCCAGGGCCTCACACATGCTAGGCGAGCGCTCTTCTGCTGAGCCACAACTCCAGCCCCTCATACCTAAGTTTTTATAATTGATTTGGTTGTAGATTTAGCAGGTGCCCTGTCAGATTTAGATAACACCAAGAATCAAAGTTCAAAATGACCTTGACAAGAATCATTATGGAATTAAACTTAACAAGGATAAGCCTTAAGACTTGCATTAGATTAAAGCATAAACTGTGAGTACTAAAGTAGGAAGATCTAACTGGATAGGATTTTAGTTGACCACCAATTTATTATGAGCCAGTAGTGTGTTCAAGCTCACATAAAGAACAATAGGAGTACCACTGGGTTTCCTCTTGGAAATGGAGCCTCTAAGGTATTTCATGAGCTATTGGCAAACTAAGCTATGTTCCACAGCTGGGACGGTGGAAG